TCTCCCCCGAGCATAGCCCATGATCTAAGTCCTTCCAAGAAGATCTTGAGCGCACCCCATTCACTCATTGCTACCTTGCATATATGAGCAGCTCCCTCTTGAGCTCATCCACTTCGTTTCTCAAAGTCATCGCTCCCACTCGAATCTGGCTTCTTTTGGATCGTTTTTGACAATTCTTGTGAACCACCGTGTATTAGAACACCTCCATCGACAAACTCGTATCGCCAACCAAATTTTTTTATTCACAAAATTCATTATTCACGTGAATAGTAACCTCGTAGAAAAATCGACAAAATTAACAACCAAAAGCTCTTGATACCAGTTGTTGGGAAATAAACGAGTAATTTCCCTATAACCAGATTAGTGAGAATGCGAAAAAAAAAGTGAAAAAATAATACCCGAAATTGATAACGGAGTTCAACCAATTTTGCCTACATCTCCGGACTGCTGCAGATCTTTTACTAAAGAGAGAAAATTTACATGTGTTTACAAAACACTCACAACTCACAAAAAAACTCTCTAAACTCTTTAGTATTGGGAGAAAGAAATGATTTGGGATGATTTGGGATGATTTTGAAGCTAAATGGGTTAGTGTATTTATAGGTGAAGCTTAATGACTAATCTTGTAAATACCCTAAAATATACAGGGACTAAAATATAATTAACCCTATTTTAAAAAATTCAACAAAAATAAATACACCGAATTCCCTTTAGCCCCCTTTATGACTTTTCTAACAAGCACAACAGCCAATCAATCACTCGTCGATTTAGCTATCCGAAACTCTCGATGTTCTCAAGTCCAAGTTTGCTACCGTGGGGCTCAATACCACTACTGATCTAGTTGCACTTTCAGGTAAACCAGATAATGTATTTGATCGTTCAGGGATATGTACGTTTATATAATATGTTCTTTACCCAAATATTTGCAGGTGCGCACACTTTCGGACGGGCTCAATGTAGTTCTGTCGTCGACCGGCTATATATTTTCAACGGCGCCGGCAATCCCGACCCGACATTGGACAAAACGTACTTAGAGACACTACGTGAAGCATGTCCTGAAGGCGGAATTGAGACAGTCTTGTTGAATTTAGATCCTACAACACCTAATGCATTCGACAATAACTACTACTCGAACCTTCAAGCTGAACAAGGACTTCTTCAGAGTGATCAAGAGTTGTTTTCGACTAGTGGGGAGGATACGATCGACATTGTCGACAGGTTTAGCAGCGATGAAACCACTTTCTTCGAGAGCTTTGCGGTTTCGATGATAAGAATGGGAAATATCAGTCCAATAACAGGGAGCGAAGGAGAGATTAGATTGAGTTGCAGAGAGGTTAATGTGGAGTGCACAAGTTCAAATAAATGGAGCTCTATCTAAGGTCTATCTATTAGAAAGTGTAGAATCATAAATATATACGCGATGAAAGTAAGTCCAACAATAAGAGAGTTCAGGCATGATAGAGAAAATGTATCTTTTGCTTATGTCTAAGTCTAATTATTTGTATTACTTACCGTCTTGTACTGTCTTTTCTTTTATATGATTAATCTATTAATCGAATAATTTAAATTTGATATTGTATAAAATTAGGATAAACTATACGGATGATCTCCTATGTTTTTTATTTGACCGATTTTGGTCACCGGTTAAAAAAAATAGTTTTGGTTTCTTATGATTTCGGTCCGGTTGGTTTTAATCTCTCAATCGTTAATTCCCGTTAATCTTTTAACAAAAGTGTTATGTGGCAATAAAAAAAAGGTAAACTATACGAATAGTCCCTTTTATTTTTTGTCTGACCGACTTTGGTCATCGATTTAAAAATTAAGTGTATTTAATTTTTTATGTTATCTCTTCATTTGATTTTGTTTTTGAGGTATTTATAATCTACTATGTCATTTGTCCAAAAATCTTTGCGTACCAACCAACAATTTTCCCATCGTTAAGTTTTTGTGCAGAAATTTGAATTTGATGCTACGTTTATTGTGCCAAACGCTATTATAATCATTGACTGTTTTCTTCCTGGAAACAAATGAGAAAGGTTTGAATTTGTAGGCATAACCATGTGTGATCTTTCTTATATTTTTTTTCTTCAATATTTATTGACCGATAGCTCCGTATTATTGACGGCGAACCAAGTACCATAAATGTTGCGATCTACAACTAGATTAATCATGTTTGAACTATCTTTACTCGCTGTTAAAACTGGATCAGCTCCTTTTTTTTAATTTGTAATTGTCATGTAACACTTTTTTTAAGGGATTAACAAGAGTTAACGGCTGATAACATAAGGGACCAAACGCATTTAATTTTTAAATCAATGATCAAAGTCGATCATACCGAAAATAAATGGGACTATTCATATAGCTTACCCTTAAAAAACTAAAACAAATCCACGTTTCTAAAGTTCTTGGAACTTTAAAGATAAAGTTTTAGTTTTTCATTTTGATTCTTTTATTGTAGTTTTATTTACATGGATACTTGAGAATTTGTATGGAGACTAGCGGTAGTAGTTTCAGTTTCCCAAATTTTAAGCTTTAAGCTTGTGATATAGCTTGAAAATAGTTGGAAGATCTCGTTCTTCATTCTTTTGATGTTGGCAGTGTCCATGGGAGGCTTGTGTCTGATGTGTGGTTGAGGTACGAGAAACAAGGGGTAGAATTTATGGCTAACTTGCTTGCAACTTGTGATAAGTGAGCACAAGAGTTTAAACTGATAGACGTTTTTTAGTTTCTGATCGAGGAGAAGGAGACACACAACACATATTGAGGGACTAAAATCAAACGACCGATAATATAAAGAACCAAAATTACTCTTTTTTTTAATTAGTAACCAAAATTTGTTAGACAAAATATTGATTATAAGTCTTTTTTAAAAAAATCAAATTAGTTTGACAACATTTCAATTTATTCATTTTTAATAAGTTTTGTTCCCAACCTCTCTGCTTCTTCAGATATCTCTGCTCCATTGTTCTATTGCTCCATTGTTCTATTGTTACATTTGCCTTTTTTTAAGGGCTCATGTTGCATTTCAGTAATAATGAAAGATTTCCAACTTTCGATAACAAATAATAACACCACAAGTTCAGAGAAGAATGATAGGGTAGACATCTAGAGATAAAATGAAGTCGTGTAATCTTAATTATACAAACTACAATTCAATTTCCAAATATTGAGATTGCAGAATGTCAAATCTAACAATGAACAAGAAGAAAAGTCAATGAATTCAAATAACACGATAACCGGATATCACTCTTCATGGTGATTTTTTCCTTGAGAAAGCGCCTCCGATGAAACATAATCAATGGATCCAAACAACCCTGATAATTGGATCCGTGAATTCATCCATTGAATTCAATCCAAATTAATGATTATTCAATGTCGAATCTTTGTTTTTTCTCAAGAATTTTCCGATTCTAGATCTCTATGAATCATCGTTAACTCTTATGACCTGTGTGATATGTCACACCACCGCCATCACGCCGGCCTCCGAGTATCTCATTCTTGCAACGACTTGATCAAAAAACTCACTGCCAGAGCAGAGGTCCAATACTAAGTGAACGTCGGTTTGGTCTTCATAAACGTCATGACGGTCGATCACGTTTGGGTGCGACGAACGTTCTCGACGATCTTTCGCATCACGAGGATTTCATTGGTCAACAACGTGTCGGAAATGGAAACTTCATACTATGTCGTCAATAACACCTCTATTGAAAAAGCTCTTGTTTTCTCGACTCGAGGTTCTGGCGTGGTGGTGGTGGTGAATCTTTTTTTAAAAAATTAATTGTGAATTCTTTGCATTTTTCATTATCTTCATTACTTATTTTATACCTTTTCTACAAATGAGAACCGTCTAATTTGACTTCAAATAATTACAACTAGTGATTAGAAAACAGAAGGCTATTGCAATGGAGCAAAGATGTTTGAATAAGAAGCGGATAGAAGATGAGCAATATTGGGGGTTGGAGAGAAAAATATTAAAAATGGGTAAATTGAAATGTTGTCCATAAACTAATTTGAATTTACAAAAAGATTCATAATTAATATTTTGTCTAAAATTTAGGGTTAAAATAAAAATTAAATCATTTTACTAACGGGTCACCAGTCACGTCATCAAACTAACAACATTCAACGTTCAAGTGATCAAACTTAATAAAATGATACTATAAGTGACCAAAATTTATGTTTCTTGAATTTGGTGAGCAAAAGTGTACAAATATGAAAGGAAAGTGAATAATACTTAATCCACATATAATTTACGTAGAAATGACGTAATTTTAATTTTGTATATTTACCATGTCACGTCAGTAAACCGTTAAAACTTTAACGGTCATTAACCTTTAGTGACCAAATCTTAATTAAAACGAAATGAAAATGACCAAATCTTATTCTTTTTTAATTCAGTGAGAAAAATTTATAAAACTCGAACCAAAATCACAATTTCTGCTGTTTACCCTTGGTTTTATTTTAACCTTAGACTGATGTGTTCTACGTACAATAGTTATGTTTTAATTTATGTTTTTTCCCACCATAAAAACGTGTCCCTCGCGGTCTGGTACGTCTTAACTTACATCAATGTCATTTAAATTGATAACGAAGTCGACACCTCATTCTCACTTATATATATTGTTTAGAGATGAAATAAAAGAAATTGGTTGCAGTAGTACATCATAACTATATAAGGCCAGTCCCTTTGAATAAACAGGTAAAAGTTGCATTAACAATTACTCAAGTTGAATTGATTTATATATAACAAATGCATGCGAGGACCAAGATCAAAGTTAGTTAGGTTGTTAGTCTTTAAAAAAAACATAATAATTTAATTTCAAATTTTGAATAACAAATTTAGTTGAAAAAATGGGATCAAACTAACTTCTTTCGACTCCATTATTATTTTTGCCCAATAATGTGATTTATGTTATGGTTGGATCGGACAGTTGCCACTTGCCACTCTTGAATGTATTTTATCTCTGTTTCGATATTTATAGCATATAAAAAGCCCTGCGACAATCTCTTTACTTCCAAGTTCCACCCCTTACATTTTCTCCTTTGATTTCCTTGGTTCCTACCGATATATCTTATGGAGTCCAAACGTCAAAGTTTGACACTCGCATTCATCTTGCTTCCGATGCTGCTCGGCTTCGCAAGGTCCGATATCAATCAAGACAAGGCGGAATGCGCCACTCAGCTCGCAGCGCTCGCCCCATGTCTCCTGTACGTCGGCAACCAGGCGAAAACCCCGACAGTAGACTGCTGCGGTGGGATCAAACAGGTGCTGGATAAAAGCAAGAAATGTCTCTGTGAGTTGCTTAAAGATAAAGATGATCCAAGCCTCGGCCTTAAGATCAACGGCACTCGTGCGGCTACCCTTCCTAGTACCTGTCATCTCCCTGCTAACATAACCGACTGTGTCTGTAAGTAAAACATATATATATATATTAACAACTTTGATTTTCCCTTTATTCTAACATTGGGTTGCCTTTTATATTTATAATTTTTGGTGAATTCAGCCCTCCTCCACTTAGCACCCAACTCCCAGGACGCAAAGTTATTTGAAGGATATCAAAAGCTGGAAGAGGGACATGCCACTACCCCAACTTCCGGGTAATGGACAGAGGTCTCAGTTGGGATGCTCGCTCACCTAAAAATTTTAAATTATCATATATATATATATATATATATATATATATCATTGTTAATATGTTTTCGTCTTTAAAATTTTATAAGTTCACCCCTCCTAAAATTTTAAAAATTCGCCATTAGCGTATGATCCAATCTATGTACATGTATATATTATTGTTTATTTGAATCTTGTGAATGAAAAATACACGAAGAAGATTATTCTTTTCATTTGGAGACTAATCTCTAAGATTGTAAACCGATTTCCTTTTTATGAAATATGTAGGGAGCTCGAGTAGCAGACCATCAAGTGCTGCAGAGAAGAGTGAGGGAGTAAGAGCGAAGGCATGGGTGGGAGTTGAGATGGCTTTGGCACTTTCACTCTGGATTTCCTATATATAATATTTATGAATTTGTAAATCATGTTTTTTTAATAACTTTCAAATATAATATTTATGGAGTGTAATTCATGCTTTCATACCTTCAAATATAATATTTATGAATTAATTCATGTTTTTAGATCTTTTTCTATATATAAAATAATTATATAATTTCAAGTTTCAACTAATTATTCTCTCATCATGTATATTTCATTTTCATAATTAATAAAACTTTCCTTAAAATAAACCAATAGAATTAGCACACCAGTGGTATACTGAAAACACCAGTTTTTTAGTGAAGGAACTTCAACCGGAAATTAACACTGTCGAGGATTTTAAGAGACCATGATAGTCGGTATTATTTCAATCTTAAACTGATATCAAACAGTTTAAATTTTGTCGTAATAAAAAAATTTGATGTATTTTGATCACTTCAGTATGTTTCATCTCATTTCAGTTAATAAATCATTAATTAATAATTTTACATTTATATTTATATGAATGTTTTTATATACTGATATATTGATACTAATAAATAACGTCTAAGAAAATATTTATAAATCGATAAATTTGAAAATATATCACTGATGTTAGAAGTCAATTTCGGTGGCCAACAATTGTTGAAAATTGACAGAAAGTTTGGCACCGAAAATTGAAGGTGAAATTGTTGAAAAAATATAGAGGGGATAATTGCACATTTAGTCCCTAAATTTTAAGATATTTATAAGATTAATCCTTAAGCTTCAACTATAAATACCCTAACTCATTTAGCTTTAAAATCATCCCAAATCATTCTAACTTTTTCCCAATACTAGAGAATTTATAGAGTTTCTTGAGAGTTGTTTTCTCCTTTTTATTAAGAGAGAATTGTCATTGTTTTTTCCTTGTTAGATCGAGAGAAGTTGTAATTTCTATTTTCTCATAGTGAAATTCTTCTACCATTACCCGTGGTATTTACCCTATATTATTTAGGGGTTTTCCACGTAAAAATTGTGTCTTATTTATCTTCATTTTTATTTTCTCAATTTATCAATTGCGATTTTGCTCTATCCGATAGTCATATTCTGCAACAATTGGTATCATAGCTAGATTTGAGTGTGTAATATCTACTTATTGTCTTTGTGGTTACCACAAAAAAGGTGGATCTCCAACATAAGAAAGTAAGAAGGTATTACCCATTCTTTGAAGATTCTAGAGAACTATTCACGATAGTGAAATAGTGGGAGCTATCCGTAATAGAAGCTATGACAACGAAATTTGATATTGAAAAATTCAATTGGAGAAATTTCTCATTGTGGAAATTGAAGATGAAGGCTATCCTAAGGAAAGACGGGTGTCTAGCAGTTATCAGTGAAAGACCGGTAGATTTCACAGATGACAACAAATGGATCGAAATAGACGGTAATGCTATGACAAACTTTCATCTAGCATTAGCAGATGAAGTATTGTCAAGCATCTAGAAGAAGAAGACAGCTAAGGAGATATGGATCATCTCACCAAGTTGTACGAGGCCAAATCGTTGCACAATAAAATTTTCCTTAAGAGGAAATTGTACACTCTCTGTATGCCAGAATCTACTTCAGTGACGGAGCACTTAAACACACTGAGCACTTTATTTTCTCAACTTACATCCTTAAGATGTACAATAGGAGAACAAGAACGTGCTAAACTTATACTTCAAAGTCTACCTGATTCGTATGATCAACTCATCATCAACTTGACAAACAGTAATGTCACCAGTCTAGTCTTCGATGACGTTGCAGCTGCTGTTCTACAAGAATAAAATCGACGCGAGAACAAGGAAGACAGACAAATAAATCTACAACAAGAAGAAACGTTGACAACGATGAGAGGGAGATCAACAGAACGTGACCAAAGCAACAGTCACAAACATGGTAGATCGAAGACGAGAAGCAAAAAGAATTTAAAGTGCTACAACTGTGGAAAGAATGGTCACTTGAAGAAGGGTTGTTGGAGTCTAAATAAAAACTTCAATCCACAAGGCAATACCGTAAACACTTCAGATGATGAAGATGCTCTATGTTGTGAAGCGTCAACCACCGTGGAAGGTAGAAAAGATTTACAATATATGGCTCATTGATTCAAGAGCAACATATGACCTCAAGAAGAGAATGATTTCATCATTATGAACCTGTCTCAGGAGGATCTGTGTATAGTTGCAATGATCATGCTTTAGAAATCATTGGCGTGGGAACCATCAAATTGAATATGTATGATGAAACAATTAAAGTTGTTTGAGATGTGCGGAACGTGAAAGGCCTGAAGAAAAATTTATTATCCTACGGATTGTTGGATAATAATGCAAGAAAGATTGAAACACAGAAATGAATCATGAAGGTGTTCTGTGGAGCGCTTGTGGTGATGAAAGGCGAAAAGATAACAGCAAACTTGTACATGCTGAAGGGAGAGACTTTGCTAGAAGCATAATCCTCTGTTGCCTTATGTAGTTCAGATTCTGCAATGTTATGGCATCAGAAACTTGGACACGTGTCAGAATAAGGAATGAAAGTCTTTATGGAGAAAAAGCTACTACCAGGCTTAACAAAGGTATCACTTACTTTGTGTGAGCATTGCATAACAAGTAAGCATCGCCGGTTGAAATTCAACACATCAAATTCTAGAGGCAAAAGTGTTCTAGAATTGGTTCACTCTGACATATGGAAAGCACCAGTTGCATCTCTAGGCGGAGCAAAATACTTTGTCTCATTTATTGATGACTACTCCAAGAGATGTTAGGTGAACCCTATTAAGAAGAAGTCAGACGTGTTTTCAACTTTTAAAAACTTCAAAGCGCGGGTGGAACTTGATTCTGAAAATAAGATCAAGTGTTTCATAACAGATAATGGAGGAGAATACACAAGTGAAGAATTTGACGACTTTTGCAGAAAAGAATGCATCAAAAGACAGTTCACAGTGGTGAACACTCCTCAACAAAATGGAGTGGCAGAGCGGATGAACAGAACCTTGTTAGAAAGAACAAGAGCAATATTGAGGGATACAGGCCTAACAAAATTATTTTGGGCAGAAGCAGTCAATACTGCCTATTATTTTGTGAATCGAGTTTCATCAACTGCAATAGAGCTAAAGACACCAATGGAGATGTGAACTGGTAAACTAGTTGATTATTCAAACCTCCATGTATTTAGAAGTATTGTGTACGTGATGTACAACTCCCAAGAAATTTTAAAGTTGGATCCAAAATCCAGGAAATGCAAATTCTTGGGGTATACTGATGGTGTGAAGGAGTATCGTTTGTGGGATCTCATTGCCCACAAAGTGATCATCAGCAGGGATGTTATCTTTGTAAAAGATAAACTACAAAGAAAATAAGATGATGATAGCGTTGAAAAGTTAGAGACGACACATATACATGTGGAAAATGAGGTTGAACAAGGAGATTCTTATAAAGCAGAACCAACACATGATGAACAAGAACCAGAGAGTTCTGAAGCTCCAACAACTCGTCAATCAAATTATGTGAGAAGACGTCCCATTTGACACTTAGATTATGTTATAGAAGGAAATGTTGCATACTACCTTTTAACATATGACGGTGAGCCATCAATATAACAGGAGGCAATAAACAACTCAGATGCTTCACTGTGGATGATGGCGATGCAAGAAGAAATTGAAGCCCTTTAAAAAAAATAATATATGGGACCTTGTGCCACTACCACAAGGAATGAAGCCAATTGATAACAAATGGGTCTTCAAAATCAAGCGAAATGGTGACAATCAAGTTGAGAGGTATCGTACAAGACTGGTGGTCAAAGGATATGCTCAAAAAGAAAGTATTGATTTCAATGAAATTTTTTCTCCTGTGGTTCGACTAACAACAGTTCGAGTAGTCTTGGCAATATTTGCTACATTGACCTTACATCTAGAGCAGCTAGATGTTAAAACAGCTTTTTTCATGGAAATCTTGAAGAAGTGATTTATATGCTCCAGCTTGAAGGTTTTGAAGAATAAAAAAAAAGAACTTGGTTTGCAGGTTAAAAAAATCTATGTACAGTCTAAAGCGGGTGCTGAGTTGTTTGTATAAGAGATTTGATTCCTTCATTATGTGCCTTGGATACAACAGACTTAATGCAGACCCTTGTGCTTATTTCAAGAGGTTTGGTAATAACGATTTTATTATATTGTTGTTGTATGTGGATGACATGTTGGTTGCAGGACCCAACAAAAATCATATTGAAGAATTGAAGGTACGACTGGCTAGGGAATTTGAAATGAATGACTTGGGATCAACAAATAAGATTCTAGGGATGCAAATTCACCGAGACAGAAGTAATAGGAAGATTTGGCTTTCACAAAAGAATTACTTGAAGAAAATATTGTCACGATTCAACATGCAAGATTGTAAGTCAATTTCTACCCCTCTTTCTATTAACTTCCAATTATCCTCCAGTATGAGTCCTAGCAGTGAACAAGAGAGGATGGAGATGTCTCGAGTGTCGTATGCATTGGCAGTGGGAAGTTTAATGTTCGCTATGATATGCACAAGACCAGACATTGCACAAGAAGTGAGAGTGGTTAGTCAGTACATGGCGAATCCAGGCAAAGAGCATTGAAATACAGTAAAGAGGATCCTGATATACATCAAATAGACCTCAAATATTGCATTATGTTACGGATGATCAAACTTATTAATCAATGGGTATGTAGATTCTGACTATGCAGGGGATTTGGAAAAAAACAAGTCTACTACAAGATATGTGTTCAAAATTGTTGGTGGAGCTGTAAGCTGAGTTTCAAAATTACAGTTAGTTGTGGCTACATCCACAACAGAGGCAGAATATGTAGCAACTACACAAGCCAGTAAAGAAGCAATTTGGTTGAAAATGCTATTGGAGGAGCTTGAGCACAATCAAGAGATGTCTCTTAGTTTTGTGACAGTCAAAGCGCCTTGCATCTAACAAGAAATCCAGCATTTCATTCAAGGACAAAACACATATGAGTTCAGTACCATTTCATTCGTGAAAATGTGGAAGAAGTGACGGTAGATATGCAGAAGATTCATACCAAAGACAACATAGAATATTTCACGTCGAAGGCAATCAATGCTGATAAATTTACTTGGTGTCGATCCACTTGTGGCATGTCAGAA